GAATTTAATTATATCAGCCATTCCTAGTTGTAAGGAAGTCCTTGAAAATATAGTCTTTTGGCTGGGTACCGGGCTGCTTTATATAAAATCAGGTTCTGGAGCGCCTGGGTGGCTCAGTGGGTTTTGTGTCTGCCTTTGGCTCAGGTCGTGATCCCAGGGTCCTGGGATTGAGCCCCATATGGAGACCCATGGGGAGCCCCACATTGAGCCCCACATCGGGCTCCCTGCTCAGTGGGGAGCCTGCTTCTCCCTCTTCCTCTGCAGCTCCCCATGCTTATGCTCTCTTTCTGTGTCAAATAAGTAAATAAAATCTTTAAAAAAAAATCAGGTTCTCTTACTGATGGAACAAAGGGAGACTGAACAGCAGGTGGCAATGAGCAGTCTCTGTCACAGATTCCATATTTATTCTTGGTTTTAAATCTCCAACACTACTCTAGGCCTCATATTGCCAAAATTAGTCTTTACTTTGCATTTCTTTTCTCTGGGTCTCACTTTCCTCATCTGAAAAAATGAGATTAATGTAATTTAAAGACATATAGGGGAAATAAATAGGAAGGTGATTGGAAAGATTTTATATATATATATAATTTATAAATATATATTTACATACAAATATATATTTATAACAAAGAACTGACAAACTGGGCAAAATGAATGTTTACCCAGCTCCAAATGCCTAGATTTGGGATATTCTTAAGGGAGGATTTCAGCCTCCACCAAATGATGAGGCTTTTCCCCTAGCATTTAAGCTTCTCCCAGGGACATGAATTAATCCCTTTTAGGTCACTGAGGGAACTCTAAGTGCTTAGCTCTTTTATCATTTTGAAAAAAAAATGAGTTGGCATTAAAGACAGTTATCATGGGGCGCCTGGGTGGCTCAGTTGTTAAGCGTCTGCCTTCGGCTCAGGTCATGATCCCAGGTCCTGGGATCGAGCCCCACATCGGGCTCCCTGCTCCGCAGGAAGCCTGCTTCTCCCTCTCCCACTCCCACTGCTTGTATTCCCTCTCTTGCTGTGTCTCTCTCTGTCAAATAAATAAATAAAATCTAAAAAAAAAAAAAAGACAGTTATCATGCCTTGCACATTATCCTAAGAAAAACAATATGTACTTTTTGGACTTCCTGTAACTTGCCATCTTTAATCTCCCTCATTATTATTGGTTCGCTCCTTTTTTTTTTTTTTAAGATTTTATTTATTTGACAGAGAGAGACACAGCGAGAGAGGGAATACAAGCAGGGGGAGTGGGAGAGGGAGAAGCAGGCTTCCCGTGGAGCAGGGATCCCGATGCGGGGCTCGATCCCAGGACCCTGGGATCATTCCTGGGATCATGACCTGAGCTGAAAGCAGATGCTTAATGACTGAGCCACCCAGGTGCCCCAAGGGCACTGGGGTTTTATTAGAAACACAAAACACAGGGTTTTTTCCCTGATGAAGTTCACAGTATGGTGTGTGTGAGGGGGTGTTGTTGTTGAGGGAGATAAACCATGAACATGTAAACAAATGAACAAGATAGTTCAGATAGGAAAAAGTGCTATGAAGGCAGTAGGAGGACATGGAAGCATGTAAGTGGGAGGGAATGTTAGAGGTGAAAGTTCTTGAGGAGCTAAGATAGGAATGTGAGACAAAGCCATTGACAAATGCATAATTTATAATGAGCACTTATTTCATGGATACAAGCATCTAAAAATTTTCGTTTCTAAATGGAAAACCATTCTATCTCCCACTACACAAATGATGAAGATGCAACTTTTATTTAAATGGAGTATCAACAAAAAGCCCTAGTTGGCTAAGGGTAACAGGTTCAGGAATACTAAAGATAAGAGGGTGAGCAGTATCACAATTATTTTGAAATCCAAACAGATCCCAGTAGGTGTGCTTTCAAAATTAAAGAAAAAATGAGTCACTCGCTCTTGCTTAATCCCCATGTTAGTTACTTTGTGGAAATGAAATATTTGAGTAATTTCACTTGACTGTTACTCTAAGAGTACGTTATCAGCAAACTGGCAATGAATTCTATTGCAAAAATGAATCCATTCTAATTGTTTCCTTTTTTTTTTTAAAGATTTTATTTATTTATTTGACAGAGAGAGACAGTGAGAGAGGGAACACAAGCAGGGGGAGTGGGAGAGGGAGAAGCAGGCTTCCCACCGAGCAGGGAGCCCGATGCGGGGCTCGATCCCAGGACCCTGGGATCATGACCTGAGCCGAAGGCAGACGCTTAACGACTGAGCCACCCAGGCGCCCCCTAATTGTTTTTTGAAAAAAATCTCTTTTATATTTGTGATTCATGATCTTGCCAAAATCATACGTGTGCAGAGAAAGTCAGCATCTGCCAGGAGCAAAGCAAATTTGATTAGATGTTCCAGTGGCTAGAACATATACATTCAGTGTTTACAATTGGCTTCCTTAGAAATAGGAGCGTGGCTTACCTAGTGACGTGAATTTAAGACATACAGAGCTTCAGATTTGATCCCTGGTATATATAAAACAAAAACAAAAACAAAAACAAAAACAAAAACAACCTACCGGACTTTATGTATAAGAATAGATTCCTGAAAAATTAGACTTGATTCTCATTATAACATCGTTATACCACTAATTAGAGCCAACTTCTTTTGTATCTCTTCAAAATTTGAGATGAAATTTGTAAGACAATAACAAAGCATACAGGAGAGGAAGAAGCCACCAATAAGATGGTTTCACGTCAAAAAGATGTGATATTAATTTAGGAAACAATGAACTTTAAAAAGCGGAATCATCTGTGAGTAATACAGAGTAGAATCTGGACCCAGGCAGGAAATCTCGCCTCAGAAAGTGAAGCATAAACAGAAAAGGGAGTGGAAGGGAGGAGGAATGGAAATTTTCAGGGGTATTGGAATTAAAAGACCTTTAGTTCTCTTCTAGCCCCATTTATTTGCTTCTAAGAGCATCTAAAGAATGTGTTAACCAGTGAAAAAAAGGCCTTATTGAGATATTATGTAGATAACCATAAAATTCACCCATAAGCATACAGTTCAATGATTTGTAGAAAATTCACAGTTATGCATCCATCACCCTATTTTTTCATGTTGTTTATGGGATAGGAACCACTTTATTTTTCTTTTATAAAGTTACATAGTGATTTGTTAAAATCTTAGAGCAAGTTTCAAGGATGCAAAGGGGACTCATTGAAAATGTGTGTAATAGACATATGTAGGCAGTTGGTTTACTGAAACAAGGAGAAAGAGAGGCAGAGTGGCTGGAAGCCAGACAGGACAATGGTTATCAGCCAACCCCTATAGTCAGTCTGCTGGAGTTCAGATTCAGGCATCCTTATTTGCTTTATAGCTGTCTGACCCCAAACAAGTTACTTGAACTCTCTGAGCCTCAGTTTACCGATAATAGTACCTATTTCATGGGATTATGAAGGATAAATGAGATAATATGTATGTGGTGCTCAGCATAGTCCTGACACATAGTAAGTACTCAATAAATGTTAGCTATTTTTATAATTATCAATGGATGGCCATTAAATAGCCTTTCATGAGCTAGACACAGAGACCCCATGCTCTCTGATTAAATTTATGTGAAATTCTAGAGAAGGCAAAACGATGGTGATAGAAAGTAGATCAGTGGTTGACAGAAGCAAGGGAGTGGGGGTAGGAAATTGATAGCAGAGAGGCACAGGGAGCTTTTTAGGGTGCTCTACATTATGATTGGGATGGTGTTTTGTAAACATTTGTCATGGAATTACACACTTAAACTTGGTGAATTTTATTGTGTGTAAAATAAAGTGGACAAAAAAATACAGCTTTTAACTTCCTAGTTAGATAGTTTAATTATTTTACATGTAGAAGAATAAATTTCTAGGGGAGCCTGAGCGGCTCAGTCAGATAAGGGGGGCGGGACTCTGGATTTCAGCTTAGGTCGACATCGAGCCCCGCCCCCATCCCGCTGGACGTGGAGCCTGCTTAAGATTTGCTGTCTCCCTTTCCCTTTGCCCCTCTCCCTCTCTCTCAAAAAAAATTTTTTTTTAATTGAAAAAAAGAATAAATTTCTAAATTCAGTCAACAAATATTTGTTGAGTACCTATTATGTGCAAGGCACTGTTCTAAGTGCTGGGGAAGCAGCCTTGAAGAGGACAGCATCTCTACCTTCATAGAGCTTACAGTTCAAGCACGAATTAGATACATATGTTTGGGGTTACACGAAGGGTCACTGTGAGATGCTATGGGGACATAACCGTGACAGGGGAGTGGGAGGAGGGATAGAGGAGCTCCAAGTTGTATAAATATCTGTCCCGTGGATTTTCTTTAATTTTTCAAACATACACAGAAGCAAACACAGCGTACCTCTATCCGCCATGGTGTTTGGGAACGTGGCGTGACAGAGGCTTCCGGGTGACGGGTGATCCTGAGTGACCCAGGGCTGCCCTCTGGTCCCACAATCTGTGAGACGGGGTGTCCACCTGGCGAGGGAAGCGGACTGGCATTGGCCGAAGGACCAGGTAGATGATTCCATGCGCCTCAGGGGTAGCGTGGCCTTGACCTTGATCTCGTCAACCCGGCGTTCTCTCGGCTGCAGGCTAGCACAAGCCCTCAGCACAGCGGTGGAAGCGGGTCCCCTCAAGTACCACTCTCCCAGAAGGTGGGCCAAACTACCGAAGTCCCAGTCTGCGAGAAGACCCCGCCCACGAGATGGCCCCGCCCACACGGGGGGTCCGAGGCTGATGCCGGCTCGGGGCGGAGACACGTTGCGGGAACCTGGTTGGCTCTTCAGTTTGGGCCGCGTGGGGGGGCGGGGCGGGGCGGGGCGAGGCCTGAGGGGGCGGGGCTTGCGGTCCACTGGGCCGCTTGGCGCCCGCTGGGGAAATGGATGTTCTGCAGGTCCGCGGGCGCCGGGGGCGGGGAAAGCACTCGCTCGGCTGCGCGCTGGCCCCGCCCGGGACCCGGCCGGAGCGCGGGGCCGCCCCTTTCCTCCCTCGCTGGAGCTGGGCTGAGCCCCGAGCGGAGAAACGGAGTCGGCCCTAAGCTCCCTGTTTGGTTTTTGGGTGGCGGCAGCCTGAGGAGGAACATGGCGCTCGTAGGCAACGGAGCAGAGCTGGAGGCGGACGAGGTACTGGCTGGTGGGGGTGCGGGCACTGCCCCTGGAGTCCCGGAGGGATGAGCGAGCCCGGCAGGGACGACCAAGGTCCCGCCCCCTGGTCCCCAGTCCCGGACTAGGCAACTTCCCGTCCGGAGGAAGGGGCAGGGGCTGCGGGTGGGGGCACCCGGCCTGGGAGGTCTGTCCCAACACTAGCGTGGAGGGCGCTCGGAGCGGAGGCGCTGCGGAGGTTCTGGGCGCCGGCACCGTGGGGTCGTGGTGATAGAGGACACCACGTCGGGTCTGGGGGTGGATGGGTGCCAGCGCGCGGGAGCGCGGGATCTGAGCTTCTTCAGGAGCGCCTGGGTTTTTTGAGGTCTGACCCTGAAGTCCCGACACTGGCCCTCTGGGGTTTGTGGAATATCACTTCTATGGAAGTTTCCAGGTGGCAGAACCGACAGGCTTACAGTTGGTGACAGGAGGGCGCTAGCCGGAGTCGGGGGGGTGGAGAAGGAGCCCCAGGCGTGTCTGCACGAGCGGGCGGGGTAGGGGCTGCCGAGGGGGCCGGAGGGCTAGGGGACCAGAGCAGCAGCCCAGGAATTGGTGCTTTCTCCTCCGTCCATAGGGCACAGGCCTTTCCTATGCAGGTCCGCAGTGTCGGTGGTGGACGTGGGAGAAGGCGCTTCGAGAACCGACTCCGGCTTCCCGACTTCTCGACTGTATTTAAGTAATTAGTCACTTCTTCCTGCGGCCGGCGCGCGGGGGTCTGAGCACCCTGGGGCGCGCGCGCTGGACCTGTTGATTTATTGACTGTTCCTTCTAGCACTTGGGAGCTCCGGAGAGACGCTCCCTCTTGCGCTGGAAGTTGAGGCCGGCGGCACCAGCAGCCGCCGCAGCACCCACAGTTGCTGCTGCTGCCATTTTACCTGACTTGAATTTTACAAGTCGCTGCCGGAGGAGGTTTAGTTTCAAATGATGCAATAGTGGAAGATCTGGAGGAGGCGGGTTAATATTCCTGTCCATCTCTTTAATGTTAGGAAACTCCTGACAACGAATACTGTGTTTTCAGTGTAGCCCTTAAAATAAAAGCGAAACAAAAATCAAACTACAACTCCTTTACACGATTGACAGGCAAGAGGGCAAGCCCAGCTGTTTAAAACCTTCCTTACAGCCAGTCCCTTGCAATGAGGACCCCCAAGACCACAGGCCAATGAACTAGAGCTTGCTAAGTTGCATCTTTTTATTGTTGAAACTTTTACACTACACGTAAAGGCAGATGATGAAATAGTGTATTTGTTGCTATTTTCATCCATGACAACCTTTCTTTATTTATAGCTTTAGATTGTCTTTTGGTATGACCTGGAGGCTTCTGTTTTTTTCTTTCCTCCTGTCTTAGTTCTTTTCTGGAATCGAGGTAGTAAACCTTTCATCGTGCTTTGACTATACATACATTCCCTTCCTCAAAAGTTTTTATGGCTGTCGTATATTGAGTATTTATATGTCCGGCATGCAAGGCCCTCTACAGTATGATCTCAATATGATGTTCCAGCCCATCCCCAACTGCTTCCGTATGTATAATCAGTTAGTTTAATCCATGTTATACGGGTATTATAAATGAGGAAACAAGACTGGCAGTACCTAGTAAATGTGGATTGAAATTTTTGAATCCCTAGTCTGCTTGTCTAAAAAGATTTGGTACTCTTAGGGCTATATAATTGTCATGTCAGGGCATTGTTGAGAGAGAAACTGGATGCTGCTAGTAATTAACGCTTGGACAAAAGGTGTAAACTGGGACTGTCCTGGGCATACTGAGACCTATAACCACCCTAGCCCTACCCACTGTCTACAAGATGAACTGAGGTGTTGAGATGCATTAGCTAGGGAGGAGGACTCTAGGTCTGTGGAGGAAGTTCGGTTTTGAACAGCAGAGAGCTTGGCACACAGATTCTTGGTAAATACACATTTGTTGAATGAATAAAAGCATAAATGATGTTGCTTAATGACTTCTCAGTGTTTGCTATATCTTTCATTTATTAAATTCAATAACTGCTAGGTTCCTGTTACATGTAAGGTACTACATGGTTCTAGGAGATGAGCAAAGTACAAACAGAATTTTTTGCTCATGCCAAATTCGCTTTTTTCCCTCCATGGTACACCATTCCTATTGGTAGAAATTTTGGAAACATTTATTGAACATTTGCTCTGTGCTCAAACTTGGTAGGTGCCTTAGAAGGAGAAGACACAGTTTTAGCTCTCTAGGATTCTCTGGCTAGGTAGGGAGATAGGACATGTGTATAAGAACTCTGGAATAGGGGTGCCTGGGTGGCTTAGTCATTAACCGTCTTCCTTTAGCTCAGGTCATGATCCCAGGGTCCTGGGATTGAGCCCCACATCGGGCTCCCTGCTAGCCTGGAAGCCTGCTTCTCCCTCTCCTTCTCCCCCTGCTTGTGTTCCTGCTCTCACTGTCTCTCTCTCTGTCAAATAAATAAAATACTAAAAAAAAAAAAAAAAGAACTCTGGACTAGAGCTCAAGGCAGGGTAAGCAAGTAGGAAGTACTGCATTTTGGACTGGGTACACTTGACTTACTTGTAGAAAGTCCTTAATCCTGCAGTGGGCTGAAGTGCTATACCATGAGTGAACAAGACCCTGTTTGTCAGTTTTACTGGGCATGTGAGGCTAAAATGGCTTATTTCAGCTGGGGAACTTTTTAAACACGTAATATACATTTGATAGTCTTTGTGGCCATTATTTTATATTCTAGGGAAGTAAAAGGGACAAAGCTGTGTAGTTGGAAAAGTAGTAGGCTAGGGATTAGATGAACTGGGCTCTCTGTCACTAATTTGTCCAGTAACCATTTATTCATTATGTGTGCAAACATCTGCCTGCAGATACAGCAGTGAACCAGACTGATCAGGTATCTGTCTTTAACTAGTAATTTCATTGAGCAAGTCTCTCATTCTCTTAGGGTTCTTTTAAGTTTCCTCATCTGAAGAAGGAGAGGCTGGATGTTCTTCCAGTTCTAGAAGTCTACGCTTTTTTGGGGGAGGCTCCGTTTTGGGAGAAGAGCTAATAATATGGTAATTTTCTTTCGAAGTTTCTAGGGAGATGATTGTAGTAGAGGTACTGTCATGACAGCTGGTGGATGGGGTGCTTTCCTGGGTGAACTGGTGTTTGTTGTTGTTTTGTTTTTGTTTTTTTTTTTCCTGTTTAGTTGCTAGGAGGATAAATGTGGGAACATAGAGGTTAGGGCTTATGACCTCAAGGGTTGCAAAAATTGTTTCTGGAGGGAGGCGGAAGCATCTTAGATATTGCAATGGTTTTGTAGCCCTTCAGAGCTTGGTCAAGAATATCTTATTAACATTAAAATTTCTCTCTTTTTCTTGGGTATTATGTAAGCAATGTTGACATCAAGTTCTTGGGAGATATACAGGATGTATGCAAGGTCAATACTATAAGCCTGTGGCAAATAGATGGCTAGGATTGGAGGACTTTCTATCAGTTACTTGATCTGGAAGTCATCTCTTTCTTGGTGACCGCCTCATATGTTCAGGCTGCCCATTGGCTGCCTTGTGGATGTTGCATATGTTTGGCCCTGAGTGTTTTTGTGCATGACTTGGTATTTGAGAATTAAATAGGAATAGTTTATATTTTATTATTTAATCCTACTAAAGTTATTCAGTCCACCAATAGTTGTCAAGTACTGAAAAGAGAAGATATTGGTAGTATCTGAATGAATATCTAGCAGCTACCTAAGTTAAAAATTGTTTTCTCAGATGAAACAAAATTAAGTTCACTAAAATTAACTTTTTTTTGAAGTTTATTTTTGTTTATTTATCTAAGTAATTTCTACACCCTGTGTGGGGCATGAACTCATAACCCTGAGATCAAGAGTCACATGCTCTTCTGACTGAGCCAGCCAGGTGGTGACTCAGTTGGTTGGGCGACTGCCTTCAGCTCAGGTCATGATCCTGGAGTCTCCGGATCAAGTCCCACATCGGGCTCTCTGCTCAGCGGGGAGTCTGCTTCTCCCTTTGACCTTCTTCCCTCTCGTGCTCTCTATCTCTCATTCTCTCTCTCTCTCAAATAAATAAATAAAATCTTAAAAAAATAAAATAAAAATTTTTGGGGTGCCTGGGTGGCTCAGTCATTAAGCGTCTGCCTTTGGCTCAGGTCATGATCTCAGGGTCCTGGGATTGAGCCCCACATGGGGCTCCCTGCTCTGTGGGAAGCCTGCTTCTCCTTCTCCCACTCCCCCTGCTTGTGTTCCCTCTCTCGCTGTCCCTCTCTCTCTCTCTGTCAAATAAATAAATAAAAAAATTTAAAAAAAAAGAAAATTTTTTTTTAAGTAGGCTCCATGCCCGGCGTGGAGCCTAAGGTGGGGAGCTGAGATCAAGAGTTGGACACTTAACTGAATGAGCCACCTAGGCTTCCCTAAAAAATAACTTTTTTTAAAAAGATTTTATTTATTTATTTATTTATTTATTTTAAAAGATTTTATTTATTTATTTGACAGAGAGATACAGTGAGAGAGGGAACACAAGCAGGGAGAGCGGGAGAGGGAGAAGCAGGCTTCCCGTGGAGCATGGAGCCCGACGCGGGCCTTGATTCCAGGACCCTGGGATCATGACCTGAGCCGAAGGCAGATGGTTAATGACTGAGCTACCCAGGCACCCCTAAAAAATAACTTTTAAGACGATAATTTTTCAATTGTTTTACTTTTGCTGGAGAAATAGCAGTGTTGAATGTCTTTTAAAAATTTGGTTACATTGCTATTATTATGTAGAAATTGGAAATTTGCATGTGTAATTTGATATATTACATTAAAAGCTACTCAGCAAAGAGTTATAAAAATATTAATAGCTTTAAAATTTTTATTTATTTATTTTTTAAAGATTTTATTTATTTATTTGACAGAGCAAGACAACAGTGACAGAGGGAACACAAGCAAGGGGGCATGGGAGAGGGAGAAGCAGGCTCCCTGCGGGGCTCGATCCCAGGACCCTGGGATCATGACCTGAGCCAAAGGCAGATG